AAAAAAAAAAAAAAAAAAAAAAAAAAAAAGAAAAGACACCATAACTATGACAACTCTTATAAAGAAACATTTGATTGGGGTGGCTCACTTACAGTTTCAGAAGTTCGGTCCATTATCATCATAATGGGGAGCATCATGTGTGCTGGCAGACGTGGTGCTGGAGGAGTAACTGAGATCTTACATCTTGCAGGCAACAGGAAGTCAACTGAGACATTGGGCAGTATCCCAAGCATAGGAAACCTCAAAGCCTGTCTTCATAGTGACACATTTCCTCCAACAAGGCCACACCCACTCCAGCAAAGCCAAACTCCTAATAGCACCACTCCCTATGAGATTATGGAGGCCAGTTACATTCAAACTACCACAGTTTTATCTTGGAAATTTCCTGTGTCCCAGGAAATCTCTCCACCTAAGCAAACTGGGGTAGTTGATCAATTAATAGATTAATTCCATTATATAGATGACAAAATTATGAAATAATAAAAACTCAGCTAAACCTACAAGCCTAGGACCTGGCTGTGGTCCCCAACCCCCAAATCAGAACCTCCCATCATGTCTTACTGCCTGCTCACAGGCAGGGGCCATGTTTTATTAAACCTTGTGTCTCCTTGCCTTTCATGATTCCCAGTGAATGGACTACTGAACGAACAAGGTCATCGATAAATATGAATGAACCCACCAGCCTATGCCCTGGGTGCCTGACTAAGGTTCTGCATAGTTATAGAATGTATTGGGCCCAGAGAGGATAAATGACTTGATTTGTCCCAAGGTCGCACTTCTGAGAAGATGGTTTAGCAAGGATCAGAACTGAAGTTTTCTGACTTACAAGGCAGCTGTCTTTCAGCTGAAGTACTGGGTGACATGATCAGAGGAGCAGAGGGAAGAGTTAGGAGCTGCAAGCTTGTGATGTCAGCACTCGGGCGGCCGAAGAAGGATCTCTATTAGTTCCAGGCTAGCCTGGGCTACATAGTGAGTTCCAGCCAAACCTGGGCTGCAGTGTGAGATCTTGTCTCACAGACAAAGGACAAAACAAACAAAATGAGACAAAACCAAGAACAAAGCAAATAAAAGAAGATGGGTTATCTTTAGTTTTTAGCTGAAGTTACTGAGAACCTCTGAATCTTCAGGATTTCTCTCACTTAAAAATTTTTTTTTTCTACAGGCCAGTGAGGTGGCTCATCAGGTGAGGCACTTGTGGCTAAAGACTGACAATCTGAGTTCAGTTCCTGGAACCCAAATGGTGGAAGGAGTGAGAACCACTCCTGAAAGTTGTCCTCTGACTCCCACATCCTCACCCCCAACATGCACCCAAAATGAATAAATAAATAAATGTAATAGAAATCTCTGAGGTCAGTAACTCATTTTTATTTTAAAGAAAAGAGAAATAGCATGTCAAAAAGGAATGTGCTCCACACTGAAAAGGCTTTGTGTACAATTAAGAAATGCAGAAAGTTTAATTTAGTTAACTTAATTAATTTTTGAGATTGGGTCTCAGTCTGTTACACAGTCAGGTCTGGGATGGTGTAGCACAGGCTGACCTGAACTAGCAGCAATCCCCCTGCCTTAGCATACCCCAAGTTACAGGATGACAGGTATAAGCCACCACACCTGGCTACAAAGTCCACCACCTCTGTCACTTGGAAGGATGCCTTGTTTCCTGTCTGTCCATCTCACCTTGGCTGGTCACATAACAGCCAAACCTTGGATCCAAACAAATCTGGCATCTCCAAAATAGAAGAACTATTTGAAGACAGAATGTTCAGATACTGCTGGCCAGAGAAGGGACAGAGCCCCACACTCACTATCTGCTGCTCTCAAATGTCTATTTATCCACATTTTTGTGGATGTCTCTCGGCTTCCAGGCCCTGTTTTTGCTTTGTCCTAGGTCCTTAGTGGCTTTTAGGCACAATGGAGGTTTTTCTAGATGGAGGCTGGGTAATATTGGAACTTGAGGCCTTGTTGAAAAGTGTGGCCATATCAGAGCATGGTGATCTGTTATTGAATATTACTTTAAGATGTGTTACATTTTTTTTTTTTTTGGTTTTTCGAGACAGGGTTTCTCTGTGTAGCTTTGTGCCTTTCCTGGCACTCACTTCGTAGCCCAGGCTGGCCTCAAACTCACAGAGATCCGCCTGCCTCTGCCTCCCGAGTGCTGGGATTAAAGGCGTGCGCCACCACCGCCCGGCAAATATTTATTTATTTATTATGCATACAATATTCTGTTTGCATGTATCCCTGCAGGCCAGAAGAGGGAGCCAGATCTCATTACAGATGGTTGTGAGCCACCATGTGGGTGCTGGGAATTGAACTCAGGACCTCTGGAAGAACAGCCAGTGTTCTTAACCTCTGAGCCATCTCTCCAGCCCTGTGTTACATTTTTCATGCTGTGGAACATTTGTTTAATGATGCAAAGATATGCTGCATTCTTTTATGTTGCATTTGTTCAACTCTGTGAAGTTGTGTTTGTTCAACTATGAAGTATGGCCTGTCTATAACACCTGAGCTGAATGGTAAAGGTGAGGCAGGAGAAAGGATAGGCAGGGCTGACAGGCAGAGAGGATAAACAGAAAGAGAAATCATGGGGGAGAGGGAGAAAGAGCAAGAGAACAAGGAGAGGAAGATGCCAGGGGCCAGCCACACAGCCAGCCACAGAGCAAGAGTGAAAGTAAGATACACAGAACTAAGAAAAGGAAAAAGTCCAGAGGCAAAAGGTAGATGGGATAATTTAAGTTAAGGAAAACTGGCAAGAAACAAGCCAAGCTAAGGCCAGTTATTTATAATTAAGAATAAGCCCCTGTGTGTGATTTATTGGGAGCTGGGTGGAGGACCCTCCCCCCCAAAGAGCAAAGAGTAAAAACAACCAACAGCAGTAGTCCATGCCTTTAATCCCAGCATCGGGAGGCAGAGGCTGGGGATCTTGGAGTTTAAGGCCATCTTGGTCTACAAAGTGAATTCCTGGACAGCCAGTGATACACAGAGAAACCCTGTCTCAGAGAGAGAGAGGGAGAGAGAGGGAGAGAGAGGAAGAGAGAGAGAGAGAGAGAGAGAGAGAGAGAGAGAGAGAGAGAGAGAGAGAGAGCCACAAACCCCACCTACTCCAAAGAACAAATGATCTGGAAGAGCCAACACTGGGCTGGTTAGGATGCCTGAAGGATGGAAGCTGAGGCTTTCTCCCTTCTAGCCCAGCTGTCAGGTTACTTTGTGGGGAGAGAAGGAAGGGGGAAAGGCCTTCATCCGGTGTAATCTGTGCTTCTGGCTTGGCTGCTCTGGCAGGGTGGAGCAGGACAGATTCTTAGCACCCTAGCCCATGAGAGTATACTCTGAGCACAGCTTTCTGAGCCTCATCTGGTCTCCTCTAAGTGGGGACTCTGTTCCCAAGCCTTTCGGGGCTAATGGTGCCCTTGGACTTCGGGTGTGGCTTTGGGAACCCACCAGGAAAGTGACTCCATTCACCTTCACAATGGTGTTCAGGAATGTGCTGTGATCGCCACTAGTTCTGGGGACAGGTAAGCACCAGGATGCTGGGAAGAGTCTGAAAGGGCTCCCATGGCACCCCAACAGCCCCACAGGCTCTTTGCTTCAGTTGAGCATGTCATGGGTTATCTTTATGCTGGCTCAAAGAGTCACACTGGGCAGAAAACTGTGTCCTCTCCCCGGAGCTGTGACAGTTACCATGACCCTTCCGATAGTCACACAGACTCTTACCGTGTGTATCTGGGCACATGGAGACAGGTTTGGAGTCTGGAGGAAGCTGGCCATATCAGATGTCTTCACTTGGCTGTCAGGAGGGGTCCACTCTGGTCAGGAGACAGAACAGTCCAAATGTCCATGACAGGCATCCAGGGACTGAGAACTGGGGGCATGAAGAAGAGTCATTTCAACGAAGAGCCACAGAATGCGACAGGGAAGGCCACCCCTGTGACACTACACTCAGTGCCACAGAGATAGGACATTGTGTAGCTCATGGGTGGAGTTGCTCAGCCAGGAGGGACTGCATGTGTCTCAGGAGGGCGTAGTAGAGTCAGGGAGCAGCCAGAAGGGAGGTTTGGGCAGGATGCAGGCGGATGGAGCTCCAGGGAGCCCAGCAGGTGTTTTCATACCTTCAGAGGGTGAGTGGTGCAATGGGAGATGCCGAAGCTGGACCTGACCTCTGTGCTCACAACTCCTAGGCGACCTTTTCCAGCTGGGCTACTTACCCATTAGACGTCAGTATGTAACAAAGAAGAAAAGAAGTGTGCTACATTCTAAAAACAGAGAGCAACCCCCAGGGCCACATCCAAGTAGAACTGCAGAGCCATTGCCTCACCAAGCTGGCACCGGCTTCCTGGAACAGTGCTCCTTTGTGTCCTTGGATCTAACCAGGCCCTTTCTGAACACTCTTACTTAAAGTGTGTGCAGGACCACCATACGTCCACCAGATGTCGCAAATGTCTTAGTTACTATTGGAGCAAAGAGCATGTTACCTGCAAATGAGTATCCTGTGCCATTGTGAATACATTGTAGATTACAGCTTTCTCAAACTGGGCCTTTAATCCCAGACTCTGGGAGGTGGTAGGAGGAAGATCAGGGACTCAAACTTATCTTCAACTACAGAGTGAGTTTGAGGATAGCTTGGGTTACGAGGCACACATCTGTAATCTCAGTGGTTGGAAGGCAGAACTGGAAGGATCTTGTTTGGGCCTGGTCTACATAGCAAGTTCCAGGACAGCCAGGGTACACAGAGAAACCCTGTTTCTAAAAACAAAAACAAACAAACAAACAAACAAACAAACAAAGCAAAAAGCCTATGTGACCAACAAGAGGAAAGCCATGCCTACTGATGGAAACCCAGGCCACTCTTGGGGCTAGTGATGTCATGGATCTTGGAGGAGAACCTACAGCCACCACCTCACTAACCCAGCCTCATTCCTAACTGCACTCTAAGTGTTTGCTCCTGTCCACAGAGAAATGCAGTTCTCACCCCTCATCAAGAAAACCTCTCTTTGCAACAGACGAAGACCACTACAGAAACCCACAACCGATCAAAATAGAGAGTTGTGGGTCCAGTGTCAGCGGCTACACCTACAAAACAACTCTTACGTGTGAGGCTCGGGAAACACAGCAGAAAAGAGGGCAGAAAGACTGTAGGAGCCAAAGGATCAGAGAGTCGCTGTGAGACTGTCTTCTAGGAGTGATAGACGCTCCATCCATAAAGTATCACCAGCATCACTGCCTGCTTAAACATGGGCCGGGGACTCAGTCCTCAGAACTATAGACCACTGAGGAATGCCAAGAGCAGAAGTAGTATTCCTCAAGAAAAAGCACACCTGTTGGTTATTCCACACCAAATGGTCAGCCCTGAAAACACCAACACACACACACACACACACACACACACACACACACACACACACACACACACACACACAAACATAGACACTAACAGTTAATGAAAAAAAAGGCCATTGACTTTAAGGAGAACACAGAGGTGTATATGGGAGTATTTGGAGGGAGGAAAGGAAAGAGGGGCATTATATGTATTATACTCTCAAAATTAAAAGAATTACAAAAACAAAAACAAAAAACCACAGAAAACCTCACAAGGCTTCGTGTAGCTGATGCTGATGCTGCTGGGAATCCCTGGGTAGCCTGAGGATGATGTGTTTCTGATCATCTTGTCTTTATTCCCCAAGACCTGAGATTACAGGCCCATGCCAACATGTCCATATTAGGTGGTGCTGGGAATTGAACCCAAGGCTTGGGCATGCTAGGAAAGCCCTCTACCACCTGAGCTGCATCCCCAGCCTTCCCAGGACAGTCATAGGAGGTAACACATAAAAAAATTGTCTCGGTACTTCCTTTCTGTAGGGGTGGAAGTTGGTCTGGCTGTGCGATGAAGAATTGGAATTGAGGGTCTATAGCTAGATGTCCTTGTCCTCTGTCATATGTGGCTGTCATAATCCTCTCTGCTGTGAAATTCGGCAGGCAGAGGCATCATGTCCTCCACTTTCCAGAAGTTTCTTGTGCTCTTCTTCCTGCCCACATCTATTTCCAAACGTCTATGCTAGAAGAACATCCATTATATTAGGGCCCATACCCAGCCGTCTTATTTTGATTACGTATGTAAAGACTATCTTTAAAAGAGCTCTTCTTCCTAGATTGGGGCTTGGACTCCACATCTTAATTCAGGGGTGACACACTTCAAGCCACAACAAAGTCCTTGCTTGGCCACCCCACTGGAAATGTCACCCATCCTTCCTGGCCCTGTGATTCTCTTCCCTGCTCTAGCTTTGTTTACCATAATAGCCTCCCTACTATTTAATG